TAGTCCTATAATGATATCTGATAAAATGAATTTCTCATCAAAATCAGTACAAAGAGACAAGGAAGGTCATTGCATATTAAGAAAGGGAATGATCCATAAAGAGGAAATCACAGTGGTCAATATTTATTCACCAAACTATGGAGCACCAACATATGTTAAACAAATACTCTCAGACAAAACGAGTTAGACCCAAACTCAATTGTAGTGAGAGATTTTAATCCCCTACACTCACCAAAGGACAGGTCAAGGTACTTCAGAATTTACTCAATTACATGGAGGTTGAACAGCACACCACTAAATAATACCTGGGTAACAGAACAAATTAAAGAAAAAATTAAGACGTTCTTGCTATTTAATGAAAATTATAATACATAACAACCACACCTCTGAGATAAAACAAAAGCAATGCTGGGTACAGTTCATAGCCTTAATTGCATACATAAAGAAAACAGAAGCAGTTCAAGTAAATATTCTTATGGTGCAATTAAAACTCCTAGAAAAGCAAGAAAAAAATCTAAAGCCATTAGACTGAGAGAGATAACAAAGATTAGGGCAGAAATCAGTGCGCTAAAAATTTTAAAAGGCATATGTAAAATTAATGAAATAAAAAACTATTATTTTTTTGAAAAATTTAATAAGATTGACAGACCACTTGCAAAAGCAGTGAAGAAAAGAAGAGAGGAGACTCAAATCAATAAGACCAGGGATGCCACAGGAAAAATTACAACAAACATCCATGAAATCCAAATGATCATAAAGAATTTTTTCCAAAAGCTAAATTCACTAAAGAAAGAAAACCTAGTTGAAACTGAATTTCTAGAAACATACAAATCACCCATTATGAACTGAGAAGATATAAATCAACTAAATAATCCAAAACTTATAACAAGAGAGGGAACTGATCAGGAGTCTTCTAACAAGGAAAAGGCCAGGCCCAAGTTGATTCACCATAGAATTCTATAAGACTGATATTTGTTTTTTTTGATCGGTGGTGGGGCTTGAACTCTGGGCCTTGGTTCTGTCCCTCAACTCTTCAGCACAAAGTGAGCACTCCACCACTTGAGCCACATCACCAGTTTTTGGTTTTCTGATGGTTAATTGGAGATAGGAGTCTCATGGATTGCCTTCCCTGGCTGGCTTTGAAATGCAATCCTCAGATCTCAGCCTCCTGAGTAGCTAGAATTACAGGTGCAAGCCACCAGCATTCTGTTATATAAGAATTTAAAAGAGGAACTGGTACCAATGCTCCTCAAGTTTTTCTGTAAAAAGCAGAAGGATAAATCCCAAACCCATTCTTTTTTTTATTGTGAGAATACTGTACAGAGGAGTTACAATTACATGGGCAAGATAATGAGTACATTTCTTATCAAGCATTGTTGCCTCTTCGTTGTTTACCCTTCCCATCCCTTCCCATATTCCCCACATCTCCCCCCACCTGATCCTCCCCCCCACCAAAGTTGTAAAGTTTGTTTTTCGACATAATGACTTGTACATCTCATTGTTGCAATGGGTCCACCTGTATCCCTAGTTAAACGAATTGTTTTTGCCCAAACCCATTCTATGAAACCAATATCACACTCATTCCATTCATCACATCTGGTAAGGATCCAAGAAAAAAAGAACTTCAGACCGATCTCTCTTATGACCCCAGATGCAAAGCTTCTCAATGAAATATTAATCCACAGGATCCAGAAACAAATTTAAAAAATCATACATTATGACCAAGGAGGCTTCATTCCACAGATGCAAGATACACAAATAAGTAAATATAATCAACCACATAAAAAAAATCCAAGGTTAAGAACTGTAAGAACATCTCAATAGATGTAGAAGAGGCCTTCAACACAATACAACATCCATTCATGTTAAAAGCTCTGGAGAAACTAGGAAAAAATTGAATATTCTTTTTTTTCCTCACTCTAATATTTGTTGTTTGGTATTTTATTTCCGATAGTCAATTTTTTTGTGATGAAGTGATTACATAAATTTCACAAATTTCATAGTCTTATAGGATAGTGATACTTGTTAAAGTCACAAACACATTCTAACCTTCATGTTGTAAATTGTCTTTATCGTGGTCTATAAAGTTTGTGAATTCTATGAGTTTAAAAATACAGATATTTCTTCCACATCAGATGATTTGTACATTTCTTTCCTTTTGCTTAGTGTCAGCTCATTTCCGATCTTTCCTGCTCATCATTCCCTCCCATCCCTTCCTTTGAGTTGCTTAGATCATTTTTTATCAGTGTCCAGTTCAGCTGATGGGTCCCGATGTTGTATATTTTCCCATTTCCTTCTGTTTCTATATCCTCATCCTAGTTTCCCTCCAATGTGCATATACATACCATATATGTGGTCAGCAGAATGGGGTTTTTTGGTAATGATACAATCAGATAAGTGGAGGTCCTGTGTTTATCCAGTCTTGTTTACTTTGTCATATCTCCTTACATTTTGGATTTAACATGCACCTATCAGAGATACCATGTGCCCTTTTTCTTTTTGCTTGTGGTTTACGTCACTCAACACGATTTTTTTCTAGTTCACTCAATTTCCCTTTGAAAGCCATTATTTTGTCCTTTCTGATGGCTGCATCATATTTCATTGTATATAAGTACCACAATTTTTGGATCCATTCACCTTTAATGGGGCCTCTGGGTTGTTTCCATATCTTGGCTATTGTGAACAGTGCTGCAGTGAACATGGAGGTGCATGTGTCCTTGTGTCCTGGTTCCTGTTGCTCACGATAGATGCCTAGAAGTGGTATGACTGGGTCATAAGGGAGGTCTATATTTAGCTTTATGAGAACCCTCCAGACTGCTTTCCAAAGTGACTGTATAGTCTACATTCCCACCAGCAGTGTAATAGGTTTGCTCTTTCTCCACATACCCTCCAGCATTTAGTGTTGGCTGAATTTAGGATGTGGGCCATTCTGACTGGGGTAAGGTGGTATCTCAGGGAAGTTTTGATTTGCATTTCCTGTTCAACCAGAGATGGTGAACATTTCCTCATGTGTTTCTTTGCCTTTTTTTATAATCTCTTCTTCTAAGAAATCTCTCTTTAGTTCTATTGCCCATGTAGTAATTGGTTTGTTAGGCTTGGGAGGGATTAGTTTCTTGAGTTCCCTGTATATATTGAATATCAGGCCCTTGTCTGATATAGTGCTGGTAATTTTTTTTCTCAATTAGTTGGCTGTCTTTCTAGTTTGGTTGCTATTTCTTTATCTGAGCAGAAACTTTTTCTTTTAAAGTAGTCCCATTTTCCAAGTCCCTCTTCAATTTGTTGTGACTCTGGGACTCTGTTCAGGAAATTCCTGCCTGTGCCTGTAAGAAAATGAATATTCTTTAAAGCAATAAAAGCTATATGCAACAGACCAATAGTCAATATCATACTAAATGGGGAAAAACTAAAATAATTTCTCCTAAACCAGGAGCAAGGCAAGGATGCCTACTCTCTCCACTCCTCTTTAATATAGTTATAGAACCCCTAACCAGAGCAATAAGGCAAAAAAAAAAGACATTAAAAGGATATGCATAGGGAAGGAAGAAATTAAGCTATCCCTATTTGCAGATATGATATTGTTATATCTTAATGATCCCCAAAACCCCACACCCAAACTCCTAGAGCTTATAAACCACTTTGGCAAAGAAACATGATACGAAATTAACCCACAAAAATCAGTTGTGGCCAGGCGCTGGTGGCTCACGCCTGTAATCCTAGCTACTCAGGAGGCTGAGATCTGAGGATCGCGGTTCAAAGCCAGCCCGGGCAGGAGAGACCATGAGACTCCTATCTCCAATAAACCACCAGAAAACCGGAAGTGGCACTGTAGCTCAAGTGGTAGAGCGCTCGCCTTGAACTGAAGAGCTGAGGGACAGCACCCAGGCCCAGAGTTCAAGCCCCCAACCGACAAAAATAAAAATCAGTTGTGCTTTTATACACCAACAATGTACAATCAAAAAGGGAAATCAAGGAAACAATCCCATTTACAATAATCTGAAAAAAATAAAATATCTACGAATTAACTTGACCAAAGATATAAAGGAACTATTGAAAACTATAAAAATTGAAAACTATAAAAATCTAAAGAAAGAAATCAAAGAACACAACAGGAAATGGAAAGACCTTCCATGTTCATGGATAGGTGGAAACAATATTGTGAAAAATGTCCATACTGCCAAAAATGATACACAAAGTCAACATAATCCCCATCAAAATCCTAATGATGTTCTACCTTAAAATGAGAAATCAATCCAAAAATTTATATGGAAGAATGAAAGACCTAGAATAGCCAAAGCAATTCTAGGCAAAAGCAATGCAGTAGGTATCACAATACCTGACTTCAAGCACTACTGTGGAACTATAAAAACATATCTGCTTGGTATTGCCACAAAATCAACAGAAACAGATTAGAAGACCCATAAATAAAACTGCAGAAACGTCCTAAATACAGGCCCAGGGACACAATGATTAGAAAGACTAAGCCGGGTGCCGGTGGCTCACCCCTGTAATCCTAGTTATTCAGGAGGCTGAGATCTGAGGATCCCTGTTCAAAGCCAGCCCAGGGAGGAAAGTCCGTGAGACTCTCATCTCCAATAAACCACTAGAAAACCGGAAGTGGTGCTCTGGCTCAAGCAGTAGAGCACTGGCCTTGAGTTGAAGAGCGCAGCGATAGTCCCCAAGCCCAGAGTTCAAGCCCCACGACCGACCAAACTAAATAAATAAATAAATGATTGGAGAGACACAACAAATGGGACTACATTAAAATAACAACTTTTTTTCACAGTTAAAGATATAGCTACTAAACTAGAAAGAGCCAATCAATTGATAAAATCTATTTACTAACAATACATAAGACAAAAAACTATTATCAACATATATAGTGAGTTCAAAAAACTAATCTCTTCAAAATCTAATAAATCAATCACCAATTGAGCAAGAGAGCTAAAGAGAGACTTCTCAGAAGAAGAGATAGAAAAAAAGGCAAAGAAACACATCAAGGAATGTTCATCATCACTGGCTGTGAAGAAAATGCCAATCAAAACAACCCGGTTAGATACCCAGTTAGCCTGGCCAATATTCTGAATTTAGAAAACAACAAATACTGGTGAGAATGTGGAGAAAAAGGAATCCTACTGCACTGCTGGTGGGAATGTAAACTAATATATCCACTCAGGAAAGCAATCTAGCATTTCCTCCAAAAACCAAACATTTACCATGACCCAGCAATAGCACTCTCAGGTATTTACCCTGAGCAATGTGAACCAGGATACTTGCAGTTCATTGCTGAACTATTCACAGTAGCCAAGATATGGAAACAACCCAGATGCCCCACAATAAATGAATGCATCAAAAAATGTGGTACCTATATACAATGGAATTTTACACAGCCATTAGAAAGGATAAAATAATGGCATTCACAGATCAATGGATGGAACTAGAACAAACCATGTGGAGCAAGGTAAGCCAAGATCAGAGAAACAAACAGCATATGTTCTCCCTGATATGGGGATGTTAGATTTAACATGCAATGCGATATGACAAGGTATACAGGATTCTAGATACCCATACACAGTGAGACCTAAAGACTAGCGAAAGTAGTCTTGGGGGAAAAGCACCAAATTGTAATACCCTAGCTCCTCTTTATATGTATATACAATAATATACATTCTGAAAAACTCCAAAGATAAGGAAACAAATGATCTTTTAAAAAATTTATATGATCATTTTTAGTTGACTCTGTATTCTTTACCTCACATATGGTATATACACATGCACATCTGTGGGAAGGTGGGGGGAGGGCACAGAATCAGTGGAAAGTGAGTAAAAATGTGCAGCAGAGGGGCCATCAGATGCACTAGACATTGTTGAAAGAACCAAACAGTTCATGGGTGGAGAAGGGAGTGAGGGAATGAGAGAATGATGGAACAGATGATACTAAGAAAAAAGGAAAGCGATGGACTTATCACCTGATGTATGTATGTATGCACATCACCTCTAAAACAAGACTAAAAAAAGAACATTATCAACCTCAGTGACTCCCTGATTGGACTAGAAGTGTCAGCAAATATGATGATAACAATAGAGCTACTTCTGCATGGAGTGATAACAGGGAGACACTGGACCTAGGCAGAGAGCTGTGTTTTTGGTGCCACTTCCTGGAGGACATTTGAAAGCCTAGGGGAAACTCTGGTGGCCACAATTGTGTGAGAGAAGCCAGGAAAGGTCTATGTAAAACGGTGCACCTATCCACCTAAAGCAGGCTCTCTTTCCCCCCAACCAAACTGGACAGAGTTAGGTTGGGCTGGGGCGGCAGGAACAGCTCTCATCATGACTCCACCCATTCTGCCCAGATCACAAGATTCTGGCTAAGCTCCCTATTATTTCATGTTTCTTTCTGACCAATGGGATACAAGAATTGGGGCCACACCCACATTCCATGCTGCCTAGTCAATCAGAATTACCTCTGTTGTCTTATACCACTACTAGCAGTTGAGGAAGGTAGAAGTGGCTGGGTGGTTGGTGAGAGAATGGAGGTGATTTGGAGATACAGTAGGAAATAGACATAGTTGTTAGTGACTGTGAGAATAGAAGTGATTTCAGAGAGCCTGAGAATGTGGCCTCCCCCATCTTCCTTTTCCCAACACTAGGATGTCTGAACAAACAAGAGGAAAAAGAAATAGCTTCAGGAAAAAAAAAAAAAAACTACTGCAAAAATACCAGAAGAATTGCCCTGATGGACCTGCAAAATTCAAGAAAAAGAAGAAAACTAAAAAGTGAGGTAACCCCAAGACAAACACCACTGGGGATTGTAATTCAACTGAGGGTACAGCCAAGGATCACACTCACCCTGAGCCTGCCCGCCTCTGGACAGTTAGAGCCACCAGCCTCAAGAGTGTCCCAGGTCCCAATAACACTGAGGATCTGGAGAGGTGTTACCAACACCTGGTCCTTGCCCTCTAAGCCAGCAAAATAAGAAATAAACATCTCTGCAGTAAGGTCGAACAACTGAAGCAGGAAAAGAAACACCTGCAGGATCAAAAAGAGAACGAGAATGAGAAGATAGCCCATGTTCAAGAAGCACTGAAAACAGAGATATTGGTTTCAACAGAATGTGATTTACAATCTGCCCTGACCCACACACAACAGGTAACCAATGAAAGAGAACTGGAACATGAAAGTCTTACCAGCCGCCCGCAGGCTTCACAGCAACACGTTGCAGAGCTAGTGATGAAACTGTCCGCAATCACCACCATGCAGAATGAGACTGAAAAGAAGAACCTACAGCTCATGAAAGACCTAAATAATGTGAAGCTTCAGCTCCAGGAAAAGACCAAAAGCTATGATGACCTGCAGGAAGTGAACATTCAGTTACAGGAGAAGCTGGAAGTGCTCCAGACACAGAAGGTCAACATGAAGAACAGAATTCGCAAGTTTCAGCAAGCACTTGTGGAGCGGGCAGCGCTGAAAAGACAACTAAACAATCTGAAAAGGCTGGTGATCACATTAAACTTGGAGAGAGACAACTTTGTGGAGGATCTGAGGAAGGAGAAGTCCACCTGGAAGGAGAACGAACTGAGAGAGGAGAAAAAGCAAGGGGTGGGGCAGGTGTTAGGTTTAGAGACCGGACTAATGGAACTGGGAAAGAAGCTAGCAGAGCTGAGGCCCCCCTGCAGGACCATCTCAGGCTGAGCAGCAGCTGCAGGCCCAGGTCTTCCAGATGCAGAATAATTTAAAGAACTTGGAGCAACAACTTCACAGGAAAACCAGAGCCTGGAGCAGAAGAAGCAGCTGTGGAGACTCAAAAAGAAGGCTGAAGATGGGGATCAGCATGCCAAGAATTGGCACCAGATCCTTGAGAGCCTTAAGTGTGCACATGTGCATAACACAGAGCTAAAAGATCAGCTGGCCCAGATGCAGGATGCTTTCCACAGGGTGAGTGGTGAGAAGGAGGAGCTCACCAGCATCCTGAACTCAAAGCATCAGGTGAAGAAACATATGCATGAGAAGCTAGAGCAGCAAGAGGAGAAGTTACGAGAATGGAAAGTGATGGCTGAGATAAAAAGCCAAGTGGTTCAGAATCTTCAGGAGCTACATGACCAGTGCCTGGCCCACTTGCAGGAGCTCACAGCCACCTGTGAGCAGCACATAGCTTCCAATCAGCAGCTGGCCTCAGAGGAGGAGACCCTGCAGCAGCACTTGCTAAAGAAGACCCAGATGCTGGAGCAGCTGAAGCAAGGGCAAACACAGACCAAGTTCAAGGACCAGATGGTGCCTCAAAAGTTACAGAATATTCTGAAGTGCTTGGAAGCAACCAGATTACAGAAGGAGCAACTGCAGGCCCAGCTGAGCTTCCTGCCTGTCCCTAAGGAAGGTGAAGGAGTGAGCAATGAAGAAGAAAAGGGTGAGGAGTCAACTCTACCTGACATGACTTTCCAAGAGGATGTAGACAACCCACAAACCCGGAGGGATTTTTACCTTAAAGCACCATCAGTTGCTGAATCAAAAAAGGTAAAATTCAGCGAGCAGCTGCAGGATCAGCAGGCTTGCTGCAGGTTCCTGGCCAACCTGACAGCCCTGTGCCAGACAAAGCTGGAGAAACAGCCTTTCTTCCCCAAGAGCTGGAAACATGGCGTGTCTGGGGACAAGAAGCAGGACAGGCAGGTGCCCAAGAAGCAGTTGAAAATCTGCTTCATCCACAACCTGCCTGGATGCAGCCAGCTGTCAGAACACCTCAGCGCCATTGAAGAGTCCATAGTTTTCTGTAAAGAACAGTTGGAAGTCCTGAAGGAGCTGTTTCAGGAGAAAGATGAGTGTGTCAACCAGATGTCCCAGGAGAAGATGGAAAAGAAGGCAAAGCTGCAGAAGCTGCTGTTGCTTCTTGCAAATGAAGTCACAGAGTGTCAGGGAAAGATGCCAGAAGACACAGAAACCCCTGCTGCTGCCACTATTTCAGGCCCCATGGAGATTGAATTTAGGGGGGAGCAGAAAGGTTTAGAAGTGCAACTGAAGGACAATGTAGAACCTGCCCAAGAAGGGGTCAGGGTGCCTTGCCTCCTAGAGGACTCCACCAAAGAACATGTGCTGTGGATGCCCGATGTCCAGCACCACCAAGAACTTGCATGCTTGGCCAATGAACGCTCTGTCTCTTTCTTCTCCAGACTGATGCAAATGATAAGTTTGAGATAATGACTCTCTAAAGATTTGACAGTCACCACCTGGAGAAATAGGAAGCTGGATGGCATTCTTTCAGGCACTGATATAACGGGTGATGAGAAGGGTTAACTGCAGGCCAGATAGAGCAGAGGCGGCTGCAAGGTGGCACAAATTCTAGAGACATCTAATAGTCCACTTGTTGCCAGAGAAGGAACCCATGTGACAGTTATTACAAAGAATAAATTCTTTACAAATAAAGAGGGTGATTATGTAATTTTCTATTTGCATATTTTATTAGTGATATTATTTTATAAGTGAGTTTCATACTATTATTCTCTGTTTTTTCTGACATTTTCATGCTCACTTGTGGAGTTCTCATAATTTGGATTTAAGGAAAAATGTATTTGCTCAGATGATCTTCAAACTTAACTTTTCCACAAACTGAAAATCCATTGGCATGTTCTAAGTTGTTAAGATCACAGGATCCAGGGCCAGAAAACATGACTGAATCCTAGTGACACCATTGCTGCCTGGGTGACTTGAATAAAAGAATCTCTCTTCCTGATTTCCTTGTCTTTAAGAAGAAGTTTCAAGCCAGGCACTGGTGACTCATGCATGTAATCTGAGCAACTCAGGAAGCTGAGATCGGAGGATCATGGTTCAAAGCTAGCCTGGGCAAGGAAGTCCTTGAGACTCTTACCTCAAATAAACCACTAGAAAAACAAAAGTGGTGCTGTGACTCTAGTGGTAGAGTGCTAGTCTTGTGAGGAAGAAATCAAGGACAGTGCCCAGGCCTAGAGTTCAAGCTCCAAAACCGAAAAAAAGAAAAAGAAAAAGAAAAAGAAAGACATAAATGAAGTTTCATGGAAGTGCTTTGACATTTAAGAGTTAATGCAGAACAAGAAGAGAAAATATTGCCATTTATGTAGGAAAAAGCTGAATCTGCATTTAACTACTAAAAGTTATACTGTAAAGCCACTTACCAGGAAGGCTGCAGTGCCTAAGGATATTTTAGTCAATGACCAGTATTCTCAGGTTTTACAAAGCTACAGAATTTGTGTCCACCTACTGATACTGTAACATCATAGTCATCTACTGCTGTAATGTAATGCATCATTCATATGCTAGTATAAAAGGCCTATTAAGCTGAATAAAAGTAGAGTATTAACACATCATAATAAATGGCTTAAATATTTTAGATATATTGTACAATGTTTCTGATTACATAGAGACATGTCCTACTCCTTTTAATTTATCATAAAACACAGCAATGCTCTGACTTTTTAGGCAACTTTCAAATCTTCAATTTTTTTCCCTAAAATATCCTGAATAAGGACTTAATGATATATACAAAAAAATAAATTTTCTTTATCTACCACTATTTATTTGCCAAGCACCCAAGCTTTACCAAAGTGGTTGCAAGAATCCACGACTATCGTCTGGCCTGGAGATTCACATCCTCAATCCCAACCATTTAGGAGAAGAGAATAAAAGGATAATCATTCAGGACAAAGTTATCCACACCCCATCTCAACAAGTCCTTTGTGATAGCTTATACCTGTAACTCCAGCTATGAAATAAAAGGCAAAAGGGGTTGGACACTGGAAGAGAAAGAGAACTACTTTCACAATTCTTAGGGGTTCTGTATTTTCCTTAGTTTTTCTCATGTTCACCCCAATTCTGACTATTTCTTCAGTTTCAAGAATATTTCCTTGTTTATAGATGATACCAAACCTACCAAGAAATATATAATATTTCAATAATTCATAAATATTAAGATTTTCTTAAAAGCTCTACAGTGAAACAGCTCTTAAATATTATTACATTTATGTGAAGTAGGTGTTATTGCCAGACCTAATATAGAAACTGCTTGTTGATGAAAAATGGTCTATTTATAATGTTAAGAAAAATGAGCTTAAATATGCCATTTAACTACAGTTTAAGTTGAAGTACTGAGATAAAATTACATGTTTTGAGTAACCCATGAGATATGTTTCAGTAATTTACCAAAAATAACATAAATATTCATTCTAAGTTTACACTGTGATGATATGGTTGTGATGAAGAACCAACATAGCATCATTCTGTTTGTCACCAGAGATAACCTATGTTTGTCTCATCAGGAAGTTTCAGGACAAAAATAGTGTTTACATAGTTTATATGAATATGATCATGGAAGAGTGGAAATAATGCATTTTCTTTGAAAATAATAGTGAAAGAAGGCTTTCTCGTTAAATTTTTCTAACCTTATTTAAATGGATTAATTCTAATATAGAATATTTTAAAACAATAATTTATTATTTTGTAACTTACAAGTGTTTTCTGAAGAAGTTTTTTGTTTGTTTTCATTTACTAGGCCTGCCAGTCTTTTTTTTTTTTGGTTGTACTTCTTGACCTCAGGGCCTGGGAACTATCCCTGAGCCTCTTTGTGCTCAAGCCTAGCACTCTACCAATTGAACTACTTGCTACTTCTGATTATTTTGAGGGGTTAATTGGAGATAAGAGTCTCACAGGGACTTTACTGTCTGGGCTGGATTTGAACTGTGATCCTCAGATCTCAGCCTCTTGAGTCACTTGGATTACAAGTGAGCTACTGGTGCCTGGCTGTGTCAGTCATTTTAACTCCATGATCTTTCAGAAGCAACTTAATCTCTTTTTATTGCAAATTGTTGCAATTATGAATAAGAATTTAGGGTATACTAGAATTTTGTTTTCTTTTTTCTAGGTGCATAAATCACATTTGTTTAAGAAAAAACTTGACCACTTAATCTGTATTACTATCACCTCAGGGATTTGTGATCTAGAGAATTATGATCTGGAGAATTATGTCAACTGGAAGAGAAAACTTCTTAAGACTCCATTTGCAACTAACCAATAAAAAAAAATGGCTAGCTACTAGGTACTGGGGATTCATGCCTATAATACTACACAGGAGGCTGGAACTTGAGGACTGTGGCTCAAACATAACTCAGGCAACTAAATTTGACACTCTCGTCTTCAATTAATCATCTAAAAGCTGACAGTGGGTCTGTAGCTCAGGAGGTAAAGCAATAGCTTTTAGCAATAAAGCTGAAGCCTCAGGACTGGCACGCACACACACACACACACACACACACACACACACGTCTGGAGGTGTCACCCAAGTGGTAGAGTCCAAGCCTTGAACAAGTAAGACTAATAAGCATGAGATCTAGAATTAAAACTCATTTACTACTGGAAAAAATAGTAAGAAAGACTGCTGCATTATTTCGATTTGTTTCAATGACTGATGTTTAGTTTTACAAATGATGTTTTACTAATGATGACTAGGTGAAGAAATAAAATAATGTGAGGGCAGTTGGGGCTAACATACACACTAGAATGGAGAAACCTGAATTCTGAACTCCAGGTATACCTCTGGCTACAGGTAAGGTAGCAACAAGTGAACTTTCCAGATACCTGGAGTGAGTTCTAAATGGGAGAGACTACAAAGTATGCAAAGCAAACAGATCTGATTTTTCATTGTATAAAATGAAGTGAATGCTGACAAAACAATCCAGTTGAGCTAGAAATAGAGATGGCCAGTTAAATCATTTTGGAGTTCTTGTGAGGGGTACTTGTTTAAAAGACTGCCAGATGGTTCTTCACACTTTTTATTTCACTCATTTTGGAATCAATGGCTGTCCACTGTGCTTGAAATCACTGTATATATGAGGTCTGGGAACACTTTAGTCTACAGAAAGGAAGAAATTGTTTGGGAAACATCAAAAATGGAAGAGAATTACTATAAAAAAGCATTTCATAGTATTTGTCTCAAGTTTAGCACTCAGTAATGATTTTCCACAAACAGAAACAGAGCAGAGAGGAAGGCCTATAGAATTCCTTCCAAACCCCAGTGATGATTTTTGTGATGTATATCATAGTTTAGATAGAGAAATAAAGTGGCTTAATAGTATTACACAGTGAACATAAGAATGATATTTAGGAAGTGTATTCACTTTGGAAGGGAAATTATTGCTAAGAAGAATATAAACAAAGATAATAAAAGAAGCACCACATACTATCTTTCAAGGTCCTAAGGAGTTAAGAGGCTTTTTTATCTAATAGTCTTGTCTATGGATAAAGACGTGCAGAATTTGGAAAAAGAAAAAAAATCCTGCTGATTTTAATGTACTGCAATATAAAGTGTGGTAATAGTGACATTTTATCACAGGAGAGGAAAGCTATCCCTTCCCCTAGCCTTTGACATTATTCTACATCGATTTAGAAAATGTTTACAGAATTTCTGCTACACAGGTTGACAAGAATATCAGAGGTCAAGAGCCACTAAGTCCAGTGGTATAGAACAAAGGGCCAAAAAATTTCAGACTATTGGCTGAACTTTAAAGAAATACATGAAAATATGAAAAAGTTTAGCCTATTTCCTTTGTAGTACTTAAAGTATTGCAAATTAATAAAATTATTAAATTATGAAGTAAGTTAATATATAATTAATCATAACATTTATGAATTGCATTGATATAATTAATTATATTAATATAATAATAAAAATGCAAGTAATATCATTATATTAATATAATTAATATATTTATATAAATTTAAATATATTTATGCATAACATACTGTCTCTAGGTTTAGAAATGTATGGCTAGAATGTAAAAAAATGAGGTATAAAGGACTACCAGAATAACCTCTTACTATATCCAAATTAAAGGCCAAACCTTCTCTTCAAACATAGATCTATGGCTGTATATGATATCACTTGAAGATGAGAATGAAGAATAGTAAATTTCACATAGGAATGATCAGTCTGAATATAAAGGAATGTGTGAGAGAATAATCTGGGAAGAGAGTTAATTGAAATAGTGTTTAAATGGGAGAAGACTTAAAAATGTTAAAAACATTGAAGGAATAACCAGATATTTTAGGACCTAAGCAATTTTGCACACGTTTTTGCAAAGAAGAATATCCAGTGGATACAATTGTCAAAACATAAATGTCTAGAGGCAGAGCTAAATTTATCAGGCAAATTAAGGTAAAACATAGATTTGTTG